CCTTCCTCTCTCCATCCCCCCCCAATCTCCCCGTATTCAGAGTTATTTTTTTTCTGCGGCTTCCTTTTTGTTTCTTTTTTTGCTTTGACGTCGTCTTGGGCGGCGGAAGTTGCTGGCAACAGAGAGGCGACGGAGAGGCGGCAGTGTAGCGCCGCCGCTGGGTGAAAAGTTCTCCATGCAGGAATGCTACAATCCTCATCACAGCATACTTCCGGTGGGCGGTGGGGCGACAGCGGGGGCGTTTGTTCCCCTTCGGACGCTCTGTGTTACTTGCCTCCTGAGCCAGTTTGAGCGACTTTCCACAAACGCCGTCGTTCAGGCGCTGCAGGACACCGTGTTTCTGCTACGGCAAAGTTTTTCCCCTCTGTTTTGCAAGCAGGCCGTGGGAACTGGATGCGAAGACTCATCGGACGCCAGTGCAGTGCCCACTCCCTCACTGGCGTCACTGCGGGGGGCATTTCTCTCTTTTCACGAGGCGCTTGCGCAGCTGGCGGAAAAGCTGTGCGCCGCGTCTGCATTGCATCGCCACGTGCAGCTTTACAAGGCGGGCCTAGCGCTGCTTAGCCTCTTCTTCTTGCTGCTGCGGGAGGCCGCGGAGCATGCCGCGGGGATGGGCGGTGGGGCGGACTCTCTTGAGGGCGGCCTGCTGGGGACGGAGGACCGCGGCGACGAGGTCGCGGGGGGTGCCGCGTGTGGCATGTCCCTTGCAGGACTGGCACGCCGCATGTGTGAGGCGGTGCGCGTGGGACTTTCGCGCGAAGGCGATTCCCCCGCGGGTCTTCTTCTCCTGACAGATTTGTCTGACATGAGTCCCACCTTTCTGCGGGTTCTTTCCGAGCACTGCGTTTCCTGTGTCTGCGCCTTCCTGCCCCTTCTGCGTGATGCGTACCGGGTGGAGCTGGCGCTCTACCTCCTCCACCAAGTCTTCGAGACGTGTGCCACCCACCCGACGCTGCTGGAGGGCCTGGCGGCTGCGCTGGCCGCTGCCGCCACCACAGGCGACGCTGCGCCGCGTGGGTCTTTCCTAGCTTACTTGGCAGGGGTGTTGGAGACGTTTAGAGACGATGAGCCGGTCGTCGTGAATGCGCTTTGCCTGGCAAGGTTTCTCGTGACCTACGGGACCACGCGGACGGCGCTGCTGCTCCCCAGCGTGGAAGACGGCGCCGGCAGCAGCGGCGGTGAGACTTCTGCAGGCGTGCCGGTGCAGCTGCTTCGCCACCTAACGCTGCTGCTGCTGCATCTCAACGTTGACATCGTTGTGGCTGCGTCGGAAACCGTTCGGGAGCTCCTCGTGGCGGCGCAGTCCGTGGGAGCTGGGTGCAGCAGCGATATTGCCGATTACGTCATTGAGTCTCTTCGAACAGCCTCGGCAGATTCGGCGGTGGTGCTAGTGTCCTTGTTAAATGTGCTTCCAACCGAAATGGTGCCCGCGGGGCCTACTCTCCGTGTTATTTTTGAACTTGCAGACATCAACAGCAACGCCTTTGAAGCAGCAGTGAAGGGGCCACATTTTTTGGCGGCTGTCACAGATCAATTCAGCAACGTCAATGATGTGGCCCGACGGGTCGTGCGGACTGTGCATGATGGAGGCTGCGTCTCGCTTCCTTGCTTCCTGCTTCAGCTTCTCTCCCTGGAGGCTGCCTGCGGGGGAGGCAGCGCTGGGGCAGGCAAGCTGCCGCCGGAGACTGTTTCCATCCTTGCGAACACGCTGTTGCAGCTTGTGAGGGAGTCGTGTGGTCCTGCGCTTCTTGAGGATGAGGTGGGCGAAGGCCAGTGGCCCTTTAATAATCGTTTCTTGTCTCTTTCCAGCGAGACTATGCGGTGCCTCGCCTCAGCGGTGGCGTTTTTGCTTCCTGCGTGCCAGGAGTTTATGCTGCGTCTTGCCACGGAGATCGTTGCCGAGGCGCTGCGGCAGTGCTTAGAACTCGGCTGCGCCGCCGTGGACAGTCGCTGCCTTCTCTTTGACGGAAGCACCGGCACCGTCCTGTTGTTTCTCAGCTCCGCCGTGCTGGAGCACGCCGCCGCCGCCGTTGCCATCGTCCGGGGCGACGAAATCACGGCGGCAGACGGACTTGTGTGGCGGCAGGTGCGGCACCTGCTCGAAAACGACCTGCTCACACAGCTGCTTCGCGTCCCAGGCGACGCTGCCGCACTTCGGGCGCGTATTTTGCGTCATTTTATGCGGCTTGTGGAGGCCAACCGCAACGCGGCGAGCACGGGGCTGCCCGACGCACTACTTCTGCACGACTCCGCGTCGCCGCGGGCGCTGCTCGAGAAGTCGTTCTGCCATCATCCCCACTGGGCGGCCTCGTTGCTCTTGACGCTTGCTGCAACTGGCTGCCCCGCCCCGGTGGAGGTTCACGTGCTTGAGGAATTTTTCTTTAGTCAACTCGCCCGCCTCCCTTGCTTTTCGGAGGAGGCGAGGCGGCTGGCCACAGCAGGCGGCGGCGGCGGCGACGACGGCGACGACGACGAAGGCCACACCATTGCCGCGCTCGCCGCGTTGAAGACCAGTGCGGCGTACTACAGGTGGAGGGGCGAGCTGCCCCACCGAGGTCCCCTGCACGTGGATTCCGTCGCTGCCACGGCTCGGGTGTGCGGTGTGCCGGAGGAGCTTTCCTGCGTCTTCCTTCAGCTGTTTCGCTCCGAGGAAAGGGCGTGGCTGGATGCCCTGCGGTCCTGCAGCTGGGGACCGGCGCTGCTGGCAGTCTTGGTCTCCTTCGCCGTTGTGCACATGAAATGCGACAGCCCCGCGGAGAGTGTGAAGGAGGCACACGAGTATCTCTTTTCGGCTGCCGGGTCCCATAGCACCGAGGAGGAGGCGTCTCTCTGTCGCATTGTGGTGACCCGCACCTCGACGTGCAACCTCTTTCTCGCGCAGCTCTTTGGGATTGTGCGTGGGTCGGTCGCCGCCAACCTTTCCCTCAGCCGCCGTGTTATTTGTTTCTTGTGCCAATGTTTGGCCCTGGCTGCGGGTGAGGCGGCGGCGCCCACGTCGACCGCTTTTACTCGTGCGCTGCTTGAGCAGCACTTGACGCCGTTTCTGCTCTTCAGAGAACTTTCTGCTCTTGCCGGGGATGTGGCACGCCTTCTTGTTTTGGCTCTCGCTCGACTGCCGCTGGCCACGGCGAGCTGCTGCGACCATACCCTCTTTAAGTGGTCTCTGCAGCACGTGACACACCCGCAGGCGCAGGTGTATGCGTGGCATGCCGTCTTCCTTCTGCTGGAGCGTGCGCACGGAAACGAGTTTGCCTTGCGGTATGAGTCGGAGCTTGAGGGGAAACTGCGAGCTGGTTGGGCTGAGTGTCTTTCCCCTTGCGTTGCCGCCGCTCTAGCGACGACGCAGTGGATGGTGGATGGAGCGATGCGGCGTCGCGGGGTTCGCCGTACGACTTCTATTGTTCCATTGCCCCTGAAGGAGTGCCCACGGGCCCCCTCGCAGCCCGTCCTGCTGCGGGGCTTTATTATCTCAGCTGTCGAACGACAGACGAGGGGGGAGCCTCCGGACATGAGCCTCCTCCAGGCGGCGCCGATGCTTCTCGCTTGGGCGAATGATATGTTTGCCCGGCGATGCGCCACGGTGGCCACCGCGCGTTTGTTGTACACGTTGGTGAAGATGTGTCCGGCGCTTTTGGCCTCGTTGGAGGCCCTGGGACTCTTCCTGCAGGTGACGACTGCAGCAGCAACGGGTGCCTGTCCCGCCGCCACACCCTTCCAGCTTTCCCTGATCGAGGAACGGGCGTGGGTGTTTGCCGCGCTGCTTTTCTCCTGGCCGCCTTGGGGCGTGGCAGGCGGGCTGAAGGAGGCGGTGGATGCGTTTCTCGCGGCGCTGGAGATGCCCCCGCGTGCGTGTCACGGGCAAAAGCGATCACGCGACGAGGAGGCGCCTCTTCCGCACGTGCACGAGGCGGCCGGAGCTCGCTGTGCGGTAGAGGCCCTCGTGGAGGCTTGTGAGCGTCAGTCTGAAGAACATGGGGCATTTCCGCTGAACCGCGCAAAGGACTTTTTCCTCCGCGGACACAACGCCCGACCGGAGGTTGACGTCCCGCACGAGGTTGCATTTGCATCGGTGCATGAGGGCTGTGAGCTGTTTATTCTCCCCTAGCGGCGGCGGTGGTGGTGGTGGGACGGAGGCAGCGTCAACAGAGTTTCTTAAGTTTTTTTTTGAGTAGTTTTTATTTGGTTCTCTTTTGGATTTGTGTGTTCTGGGGCAGTCCCCCATCTGCGGATTGTTTTTTTTTTTTTTTTTTTTCGGCGGCAGAAAAAAGGGAAATGTGTGTGTGTGTGTGCGGGCCTATTTCCGTCACAACAATTTGATGGCGCGACGGAGTTTCTGCTCACTGTTCCTTCTTGTTTTATTTTTTGTTTTATTGGCTTCGCTCCCTGTGCGGACGCCGTGAGGCCATTTTTGCTCCACGCCTCTTCTCTTGGTCGCCGGGTCGCGGGCGGGGGACACGCGCAAACAGCACAAACAAACCAAAGCGGCGGAGGGCCACATCTGCCGCGCCCAGCCGTGTGGATAAACGCATTCACTACGCATTACAGCTAGCTATATATATATATGGTGGAGCCCATGGAGCCCTCCCGCATTGACTGGATCCTTGACAACGAGAAGAACTACTATGAAGTCCTAGGCGTGCCGCGGGACGCGAGTGAGAAGGACATCCGCCGCAGCTACCTCACACTAGCCCTCAAGCTTCACCCGGACAAAAACATCGGCAACAAGAAGGCGGGGGAGGCGTTTCGCGCGGTGAGCAAGGCCTACAACGTCCTGAAGGACAAGAGGCTGCGCATTATTTTCGATGAGGCGGGCGCTGATAAGCTGCAGGGGCTTGAAGCAGAGGACCTGTCGCCGCGTAGCATCCTTGTCTCGCTCGTCAAATTTGCGGTTGCGAGGACGCTTTACTTTCTAGCTCGCCGAGCGTACGCCTCCGAGGTCTTGCGGGAGAGACATGGATGGGTGGAGGCGTTTGTCTCGTGGAGCCCGGAGGACGACTTCGCGTTTTCCCAGAGGGCGAGCCGAAAGGAGTCCCGACGCTTTGTGTGCAAAGTATTTGCGTCGGTCCTGCTGCTGTTCCTCTGCGCCGTGGTGGGGCGAGGCTGTCTTCAGAGCTTCACCGGGGCGCCCGGTGCGGCGGCGGCGGGCGGGGACCCGTACCAGCGGCTCTCACGGCGCAGCCCCCGCGACGCCGGCGCCACCTTCACCGTCCGCGTGCTGCGTGACAGAAACGCGACCGACGTTGCCGTCTGGCGGCCCGCCAGCACCAGCGAGGCGGACGCCAGGGCGCTAGTGCGGCAATGGATTTCGGAGAAGTGCCCCACAGAGAATCTCCTCGTCTGGGCATCGCGCGAGCGCTACAATGGCAGCGCCACTCTTCGCGTTGGACATAAGCTGAGGGCGGAGCCGAGCCCAAACCGCGCCCCAAAACGCAAGTGGAAGGCCAAAAACTGGAGACCAAAGTTTGAGGAATTCTTCCCTGTGAAGTCTGCCGAGGAGTTATATGTGGCGTCACCCCTCTGTGGGGGCGTGTGGTAAACCCTCTCCGTCCAGCGCGTTGTAACCGCTTACTTTTTATTCCTCCTCCTCCTCCTCCTCCACCACCACAACTTTCTCGCTCGTTGCTTGACTGCGTGTATGAGGGTTCCTGTGCTTCTGCGCGCCTGTTTTTCCTCTTGACTCGTGTTGCATTTTGCCTCGTGGTGGAGAGAGGAGGCCAGGATGGATGCTAGAGTAAAGGAACTGCTTAGTAAATCGTGCGCTGCAGCTGCACCATGGGAGGCGGCCGTGCAAGTCGCCTCTTCGCTCCTGCGATCCAGCAGCGGCAGTCCCCATGAATTCTCTCTCATTTACGCGGCGGTGGGGGAATGCATGCGCGTGTGTATTCGACACCGCAAGGCGGCCGATGCTCTATGCGTGTACGAGTTGCTTAGCCGCTCAGGACACCTCGTGGGCGCGGAGCGTCACCCGCGACCGCGTTCGTCCTCTGGGGTTGCAGGCGTGGAGTCCTTGCAGAGTCTCTCTGTCGACGAGCTGGCTTTGGTGGCGCTGCAGCAGCAGCCTCATCGTGCACACCAAAGCAGAATTCTGGCGCAGATGATAGCGGCCGAAGGCGAGGACGTGGACTACGCCCGTAGCGTGGCGGCGGCGGTGCGCGGGCGAGCCGCGGCGCCCAACGCATTGCCCTTTGACGGCGGTGCGTGGGCCTCCGTCAAGGTGAACGGCGGCTTTAAGGGGGCGTTGCACTTCCCGTTGCCGGGGCTGACGGAGCTGACGGAGGCCGAGCAGTTTCGCATCCTGCTTCAACAGGGCATGCAGCTCCTTCGCGAGACCCGGTACTCCCAGCAAAGGCTGGGGCTCTACTATCTTTTTTCGCAGATGCGCCGCGTTGTAGACGACAAACGCCTTTCCTCACAGGTTGAGGTGGCCCCGCTTCTGCGCATCGGCCGCGCAGTGCTGGATCACCCCTTTGTCTTTGCAAAGCCATCCACCGAGGACGCTCGGCGGCAGCTGCTTTTCGAGGATTTTGGTAGTCTGGCGCTTCTCAAGGGCCTGAGCGAGGTGCAGCGGGCGAAGTTGATGGCGCTTGAGGCGACGGTGGAGCCTCTTCGGCCGCTGTGTAAGGAGCCGCTGAGGTTCATGCAGTCGTTGGCCGCGTCGTGGGATACGTTGCTCGTGCGGCGGGTGGCTCTCACTTTGGTGCTGCCGAGCGAAGCTCACGACGTTCTTCCACGCAGTAGGGCCCAGGCCCGTGTGAGTGGCCGTAGTAGTGGTGTCGCGCACTGTACTCGCGGCGGTGGCAGTAGTAGTGGTAGTTGTAGTGGTGGTGGCCGCTGGCGCGAGGAGCGGCGGCTAGAAGACGGGTTGACCGCAGCCGCGTGGACAGAGGCGTCCGGCGAGCTTTTTGGCGGGGCGGGGGTGCACGACGCGGCGGCGCGGGTGGAGCTGCTTCTCAACCGCCGCCTGCACCACAACATCGTCGTCCCTGACACCGCCTTCCTCCTGCAAAACACGAATCAGCTGTTGCAGCTTTCGCGGCATCGGGAGGTGGTGGTGCCCCACTCCGTCTTCCTGGACTTGGTACACTCTGCGTTGGATGATGAGGGCCCGCGTCGCTTCCACTCCCGCCGTGTGTTGCTCTCGCTGATGCATGCAACCACCACAGCAGCAAGCAAGAAAACGTTGGGGGACCTCCACGCCGCACTGGACCCGTACGCTGTTCACACGAGGCGAAGTCAAGGCGGTGTGACACTTTTAGGACTTCAAGACGAGGTGTTTCTTCTTGAGGATAGCCACGAGCGTTTTTTCTTGGCCGAGGATGCCCTTGCCGGAGAAGAGCTGGCGGGGGAGCCCAACATCGGTAGCTCCAGCCTCATCAGTGTGCTGGTGGCGAAGCAGCTAGCAAAGCTGGTCTCTTCCACCTCCGGTTACGTGACGTGTAGGGGCGCCTTGGACAGTGCAAGCGAGGTTGACACTTTAGTGGCGGGCGTCCTTGCGTCCATGAAGGAGGAGGCTGAGGCTAAGAGTGGCCACGCGGCCCGGACCAGCATTCGTGGGAAACCGGCGCCTCTGTTCAAATCCCGCTCACGCTCCTTTTGGGCTCGTACGCCTGTGGTGCTGGCGACCACGAGTGACGTCACCCGAAGAGTCGCTTTCATGGTTGGCCTTTCGATGTTTCCCGCGGTGGATATCGTGTAGCGGCGGCGCGCGGTGTCGGTGCCAGTGAAAATGAGGGGGAAACTCAGAGCGACTGAAAAGTCAGTTACACAAGTTGCAATACGTGTTTATTATCACTACTTTATTTGTTTATTAGTGACGATTTTTTTTTTGGTTTTTATTTTTTATTTTTCAACATTTAACTCGGTGCGTCGGATTGCTATTTTTTGCCTGCCTGTCAGAGTGCACGTTGCTTGTGTGCGCCCGTCTGCCTCTGTGTGTGGTGGGAACGAGGTGGGGTGGGGCAGGTCTTTTCTGCCACGACTCCACCGTCTGCTCATTCTCATTCTCTTCCTTTTTTTTTTATGCTTTGCCGCACGCGCCGCAGGAGCAGATAATAGGTATATACCTCCAGGTATCCCGTTTTTTCTTGTGGTCGCTTGAAGCCCCCGCCCTGTTCTCTACACATGTTTCGTCGATCCTGCATCTCGGCCTTCCGTAGAACACGGCTCAGCCATGTTTCCCTGGTGTTTAAACAGCTTGAGGGTTCCAACCCGTTGACGGTGAAGGACAAGCCTGTGAGTTCCTGGTCGGACGAGTTTATGAAGCCGCCGGTGTCGAAGGAGATGGTGGATAAGCACGGCCGGTACGCGAAGTACTCCGACCCCGCGCTCTGCAGCGTAGACACCTCCTCGGAGGTGGTGCTTAACACCTACCCCGACGGCGCCCCGGAGGGCCGAATTGAGGCCACGGCGGGGGTTGCCTTGAAGGACTACGATGCCTCGATGTGGGATGAGGACTTCTTCCGCAAGTACATCTTGAAGCCGAAGCTGCCGGAGGAGCTGGAGGACCGGGCGCGTGTGACGGATTACGCACTGAACTCTGCCCTTTTGGGGTTTGTCATTCTGATGGCGCGCTACGCCGTGCTACCGCTCTGGTACGTTGGCCAGCCGGCCATGTCTATGGTTGGCCAGATGAACATTGAGGCCGAGGTGGGGGAGCTAGAGGAGCGCCAGTGCAAAACAATTGTCTGGCGCGGGCGGCCCATTTTCGTCTACCGGCGCAGTGCCCGCCAGATGAAGGAGGTGATGGAGACACCCCTGAGCGCCCTGAAGCACCCGGAGACCGACGAGGCCCGCTTCCCCGATCACCGCGACAAGGCCGTCGTCATTGCCATCTGCACGCACTTGGGCTGCATTCCCATCGCCAACGAGGGGCTGTACAACGGCTTCTTCTGCCCCTGCCACGGCAGCCACTACGACGCCTCTGGCCGCATTCGTCAGGGCCCGGCACCGCTGAACCTGGAGATTCCGCCCTACAGGTGGATTGACGACAACACCATTTATATTGGAAAGCTGTAATGCGTTTCGGCAGAGGGGTCAGGAGGAGGGAAATGGTTTAGCATGGTGAATTTTTGTGTGTGTCTTCCGTTTTTTTTTTTTTTCATCTCTGTGTGTGTGTGCTTGCCCCTTCCCGGGCTACCGCGCCTAGGAGAGGTGGAGGGTACACTGGGCATACTTGCAAGTGCTGTGCCAATGTTGTTAGTTAGGAATCCCCGCCGGGTAGGCAACGGGCTTAATGAGCGGCGGCGTGGTTGGAGGGAAGGGGGAGAAAAGTAGGCGCGTAAGGAAGAGGATGCAAAGTAGGACGAGCGAGCGAGCTGCAGCAAGGGCAGGGACGAAGGCGGAGAATAGGTGGAAGAAGCAGGTGCACGCATCGGGCGCCAGTTTGTGTGTGCGCGCGTGTGTGAAGCGGAACTTGAAACGGGAGATGCGGCAAATATTTATTATAAGAGAGAGCCAGTGATGGGTGGGAGGGGAGGGGCATTGAGATAGAGGAGGGAAGTAGAGGAAAGAACAACAAACAAAAAAAAACAAACGAAAACAAACGACAAAAAAAGTGGAGAAATAGAGGAAAGGTGATGGTGGTGAGCCGGCAAACTAGTAGTGGCTCTGGAGGGGTTTAGTTTCTCCCCTGCGCCCTCGGCATCTCTTTCTTCTTTTTTCTTCTTCCCTTCGTGGTCCTCGCTGCATCCGCAGCTAGCAAGACAGGGCGTCCCTGAGGGGAGCGGAGGAGGGGGTGGTGCGCGTGGGCGCGGCTGCGTTGCCCGCGCTTCTCTGCTCGCCGTGGTGTCTTCAGTGCAACTGCCGCCACCCACATAAAAGAAAGAAAAAATCCGCGTCTCTCATCTTTTCACCTTTTCTTCTTTTTACTCTTCCCCGCACGTTTCCCACCCACAAGTGGCTCCTTCTAGCGAAGACCGGAGGCCACCCTCTACACACCCGGCCCCTTGGTTTGAGTTCTCCGCCCTTGTGGGGTTCTCTCTGTGCCCTGCACACTTCTGCTGTCGCGTTTGGACGCGGATCAAATGCCGAGGTCCACCTTCTTGGGCGCCAAGCGCGCCAGGGAGGAGCCCAGCTTCTGCGAGAGACCCATGGCGTATCGCGTCACCGCTCCGCTGCGGCGCAGGGTGCCTTGTGTCATTGAGAGGGACGCGGTGGCAAAAAGCGCCGGGCCCTCTGTGCCTGCATGTGCGGTGTGCCCCACGGTAGACAAGGGCGGACCCTCGTTCTCCGGTGCCTTGGGTTGGCCAAGTCACGCCGCTCTCTCGCCGGTGGAGAGCCGTCCGCTTGGGCACAGGCGCAACGTTTGTCAGCTGCTCACACTCAGCGCCTCTCCACAGGACGCGGGCACAGCCTCCCCCGCGCATGGCCAGGTCGAGGTGGATGTCACGAGGGGTGACACAGGCAAACATTATTGTTTTACCTTCCACGTGCCGGCCCCGGGTCCTCCCAGCAGTGCTGGGAAGGACAAAGCGATAAATGTAGCATACCGTCACGCCGTTTTGCGTGCATTACTTAACCAAGTGAGTTTAGCGGCGGCGTTGGCAGTGGATCGTGCATGGGTTGTTGTTTACCATGGAAAAAACGTCCTGTCTGATGCCGGGGCGGAGCTGCTTGTGTCAGCACTGCTTTCCAAGTCCCACCAGCGAATCCCCCTTGCACTATTCTACGGCGTGGATTCCGTGTGAGAGGTCCTTTGCTCTTTGTGTTTTGGTTTGTTTTTTTATCTGCCCTTTCTTTCTGTTTTTTTTTTCTTGCATGCGCCGACGCGGGGGAGCAATTTCTTTTTATTGGTCCTTTTTGTTTTCTATCGCCTTCCATTCCCCTGCGGCGGCTATGTGCCGGATTTGGCTGCGAGCTGCCTTGCGTCTGTGGGGCGGAGGTGCCGTGAGGCCCGGGTAGGGCGAATCTCCCTGGGGGCCGCACCGCCCGCAGCGGCGGCAGCGGGGCAGCAGTGAGAAGGAAATGGAGGTCAGACGAGAGGCAGGGAGCGAGCGAAGGTAAAAGAAGTGTCAACGACGGCAACCACAGCAGCAGCAAGAAAAACAACAACAGCAACAAAAAAAAAGGCGAAGATCACTTGACATTTGATGATGATTATCTTATTTTTTCTTCTTTCTTTCTTTGCTTTTATTATTGTTCTTCTTGTTATTATTTTTTTTTTGCTCCTGCCTCACTTTCAGCTCCTAATCCACTTGCTGCGTATTTCCGCTGCTCCTTGCCCCTTCCCCCTGCTCTCTGTTTCTCTGTGTGCGTGCGGGGCAGTGGGGCGATGCCGCGCCGCTGCCTCTCTGTGTTTTTAGCGTTGCCGGGGTTCCTGTTGGTTCTCGCGTGGGTTGCGTTTCCGGCGGCCGCAGCGTCCGGTGTGGCCCCAACCGATGCCACCGCCAACGTTTGCCCGACGCTCACGCTGGCCGACCACCTCTCGGCTCTCTTCGGGCGTGACACTGCTCTGTCCTCGTGGTGCTGTACGCCCGTGTGCCAGACGCCGTGGGACGCGTCTCAGGAGGTTGCTCTGCGGTGGGAGATGGAGCGGTGGATTCGCGCCAATCGCACGGTGGGAATGTTTCCAGAAAGTTACCAGTTTGTGAAGGAGGAGCTGATGCGACTCACCACGCACCGGCCGGGTGACGGGCCCTTGCATGTGGGAGAGGAGAAGGAAATATACGCCAAGCGAGCCAACGCGACGCTTCGGGAGATGCCATGGCTGCTCGTCTCGAACAGCACATTTGACGCGGCGCAGCAGTTTTACCAAAGAAATGTGCAGCGGCGGCCCATTATTCGTTTCTACCACCTTTCGCCGGAGTCGAGTGCGCCAGGGCAAATCTACGACTACATTCAGCAGGTGGCCGGTTGGTGGGCCGAGGCGGAGAGGCGTGTGTCGCGTGATCCGCGGGTTGCCGCCCCGCTGCTGCCGTGGATCAGCTTAGAGAAGCTCATCGGTCCCCCTGTAGCGCCCGCCGACAGTTCCCAGACGGAAACGCCGGGCCCCCACACGGCACCTGCGTCAAAGCGACCCACTCCGATGCCGCGCCACTCATTTCGTTTTCATCCTCCGCTTCGGCCCCTTCCCACGACGGTGGTGTTTTATTACACTAGAAACTGCATTTTTTGTGCGAGGATGGGCGTGGCGTTTGACCTTCTACCGCTCCTCTACCGACGCCTGTGCGAGTACGGCCACCGCTCTGTTGTGAGCTGCAGCCCATTGGTGCTTTTTTTTCGCGTCAGGAGGGATTTCTATGGGAAGTGGTCGCCGACGTTCGCGTTTCACGGCGTCAACAGCAGGCCAATTCCGGAGGTGCCGGTCTTGGCTTCCTTTGTGAGCGAGATGGATGAGGTCTTGGACCCGGTTGGCTCGTACGGCTTCCATGAGCTGCGGTTTGCTCGGGCCGACATCGCTCTGCTGGAGATGCTGGAGAAGCTGGTGGGCTTCCTGCAAATGTATGACGTCATCCAGCTGCGGCTGTTTTCCGGGGCTGAGGTCGCAGCGTTGGACGGGCTGGCCCGCGCGAAGAAGCAGCAAGAGAAGCGGCAGCAGCAGAGTGCTGCGCCAGCTAGCAACGAGTCAGGTGCGGCAGGCGTGGAGGAAAAGGAAGAGGATTTGATGTGGCAGAACCAGCATTTGGTCGAAGTTAAAGCTTATCTGCACCAGGTTGTGATGTTCCACGTGCGCGAGTTGTGGGGAAACAGCACGACGGAGTTCGAAAAGTTAGTCCCGCGAAACGGGTCTCAGCTGGAGATAACGTGGGTCGTGGCTGTTTCCGCCGTGCTCTCCGTTGTGTGGCTAGCAGTGCTCATTTGCGTGTCAAAGAACCCCGGATACTAGCGAAGGGGAAACCGGAGTGCAATTTTGCGCATGACTTTTTTTTTGTCTGTTTGCGGGTGTCTGTGTGTATGGATGTGTCGGTGGGCCGTGCAGATCCGCCAGTGCGTCTATGCGCATGCACGGGGACACCGTGTGCGCCTTCTCCCTCTACTCCCCTCCTCCTGTTATGATTACTATTACTGTTATAATTGTTGTTTGGTCTTTGTCTTGCCATTTTTCCCCCTCCGTGAGTAACAAGGCGGGGACGGAAGAAGAAGGTGCAAACAGGTTTTATTGCCTACACAGCGGCAAGTAGAGTGAACACCCTTCCCCCATCCACGCTTGCTTTTTCATTTGCTTTGCGTTCCCGCGCGTGTCTGGACGGAACCCGAACTTCGCGGCGGAGCACACGCACGCACGTCGTCACCCCGCAGAGCACCGGAAGGAGGAGAGGCGACATCGACGCCACGTGGAGGAAAAAAAACAACAACAACAAAAAGCAAACAAACACAAACAAAAAGGAGAAGAAGGGGCGAAGGGACAACAAGAACCCACAAGAGACAGTTTGGTGATTTAAAAACCAAGGAGAAAATATAGTCTTTTTTTACCCTAGTTTGTAGTTTTGCCTCCGTTTCTTTTGCTTGCTCTCGCGAAGGAGGAGGTCTTGACACCACTTCCCCGATACTTCACTCACGGCAACCAAGCTGTAGAGGCGAGGGGTCTTTTTCCTTTGCGGGTGAGTTGCGGGCTGCAGCTTTTTACGAAGGGTAAATTTTTTTTTTCTTTGTTATCTTGTGGTGTGCCGGATTGGCCGCTTTTTCCTTTTCCTTTTTTTCTGGGTGGTGGGGGAGAGTGTTTTGCTTTTTGGTCCTGCGCTGCATCGTCGTGCGTGTGTGTGTGTGTGTGGGAGGAGGGAGCCGCTTCAGCATGGAGGCCGCGCCGCACAACATCCAGACCGAGCGCTTCGAGGCGGATCAGTACGTCCGTGTGCAGCTCTCGACGGGCCGCTCCGAGATCGGCGTCGTGCTCAGCATTGACGAGACCGACGGCACGGCCGTCATCGCGACCCGGCACGGCTACGACATCACCGTGCGCCTCCGCAGCGTGCGCCGCGCCTTCCTGCTGGTGCTGGACCTCAACGGCGTCCTGGTCTCCCGCGGGCGGGGGAGCTTTGTCGACCGCCCGGGGGTCGCCGAGTTCATCAAGTTTGTGATGAACAACTTCGTGGTGGCGGTGTGGACCAGCGGGCTGGAGCGCACCTCCAACCCCATCATAGACAAGGTCCTCGACGGCTTTCAGGACAGGCTGCTCTTCAGGCTCTACCGCGACTCGTGCACGATGTGGCCGACGCCGGAGAAGCCGTACCGCACCATCAAGGATCTGCAGCGCATCTTTGACGCCTACCCGAAGAGCTTCCATGCCGTGAACACCATCATTGTGGACGATTCGCCCGACAAGTGCTCGCACCCCGACATCGCCCTCTGCCCCGTGCCGTTTAACGACCCGGTGAAGCAGGTGGACGACAACGGCCTCGCGCTGGCGATGGAGGTGCTGAAAGAGGTGCTCCGCACCGAGTCCCTCGCGCCACTGATCCGCGCGAGCGAGGAGCGCCTGGTGGCGCTTGCGGCGCAGGAGGAACGGAGGAAGCAGGAGGCGGCGGCGGCGGAGTCCACGCCCGCAGGCGCCCAGTCCCCGGGCAACGCGACGTCGGCGACGTCGGCGGAGTTGCCATCGACGCTTCTCTGGGCGACGCGGCTGTGCTGCGATCACATTAACGGCGGGTGCGCGCGTGAGGACTGCCGCTTTAGCCACGGCGTAGACGACGGCAAGCAGCCGTGTTCCCGCAAGGGCTGGTGCCGCCGCGGTCACGCACACCGGTGGACCGAAGTGCCCCCGCTCGCGGAAGCCAAAACCCCGCCGCGCACCGCCGCAGTGAAAACGCTCGGCACTTCGGCCCCATTTAACGTGTCAAATATCGCCTCGCTCTTTTCCACCAACCCAGACCAGCAGCGCGATCAGCTTCAGAGTAGCAACGCCCATTCACAGCAGGGGTGGAGCAAACACAACGATCCACAGCAACCACAACCACAACCACAACAACCACAACCACAACCACAACAACAACAACAACAACAGCAGCGGCAACAGAAACCGCAACGAAATAGGCGTCAAAAAGAGACGAAGGGTGCGGAACGTCAGCGAGACCGAAGCGATAGTTCTCTTGGGAAAAAGGAAACTAATCGTGGGATGCCAAATGTGGCGCAATCGTCGGGGTCCCTTCGCGGGGCACCGCAAGATGCCGTTGCGGTTGGCTCCGTGGCGCCGGGATCCACAAGCATGCGTTTCACCGGTGACAGAGAGGATGGTAATGCCCTTCTTCGTCGGCTTCAGGAAAGCTTGTTGGTTGCCAAGGGCGAGGGGACTGCAAACGGGGGGACAAATAGAGGGAAGGGCAAGCGCCGCTAAACTGTTGTTTACTGGCATGCACCTTTGGCACCATCCTCATCGCACTGCCCCTCGCACCCTCAAAAAAATTATAGGTACAATACGCACTGTGCGCCCCGACCCTCTTTTTATTTATTTATTTTATTGGACCTGCTGCGATCTGTGTATGTGTGCCTTTTTTTTCTTTTTTCCTTTTCTTCTTTCCTCTTGCGCCGCTTTTGGCGGGATGTATGAAGGGTGTATCAAAAAGCGGGTGACTCTTTTTCTTTTTTGTCCGCCAGAAGTGTAGCTTCCTTTGGGACACGCTGTGCGTATTCAATTTTTCGTCCGGGGAGGGAGTTTGCGTAGTTAGGGGACTTGCTCTACCCACAGAGGTTTTCCCCCATTTTCTCATGATGTGCGTTTTTCTTTCTTTTTACTTTTCTCTGTGTGTGCGGGCGTGTACATTGCTGTCGGTTGTGTCAATTCAATTCGTCTGGGCAACTGAGTTTCTTCTTCGCCCCGCGAGGAGGTAGAGGAGGGGGAGATCAGCGTTGGCTCAGGAAAACCCTGAAGCCGTTGGAGTGCCGAGAGGTGGGGTGGGTGGGGGAAATGCACACAGGTGTGTGTGTGTGTGTGTGCATGAGTTGTTGCTGTTGTCATCATTTGATGCGCGTCAGTGTTTGCTGGCGCCGCCCGCCTTAGTTTCTGGTAGATGGATATATATATATATGTATTTATGTATTTATGTATTTATCTAAGCCTCGACGTCGTTTTCGGCCCGCTGGCGTGAAGAAAACTACGTGTCACCGCGTGCCAAGGAAAACAACAACAACAACATCAACAAAATAAAACCGAGGGTGCACCACCGAACGAATTGGCTTTGATCTTCTTTCCTTTTCCTTTTCTTGTATGCCTCTGCGTGTTTCCCCCCTTCGCAGGGGGGAAACGGGACAGACAAGCGGGGGGTGGGGAGCCGGCGGCAATTGACGGTACGGGCTTCCAATGTATGACAGTTAATGTGCCCTTGCGGTTAGCTTAATCGCGTGCGCGTTGTGCTTCTTGTTTTTTTTATATAAATATACTTCTCTCTCTCTCTGTGTGTGTGTGTGTGCGTGCCAACGTATCACACTTGCCGGTGGGTGACGTGGGGGGGAAACCGGCGGAGTGGCGACGGCAGAAAATATGCTCTGCTGGGCAGAACCGCGAAGCGTTGAGGTGTGTATGTGTGAGAGAGAAGGAGGAGGAGGAGGCAAGACGAGGGAGAAACGCACGTGGCGCAAAGCGTCGACCCACACAAACACACACGGGGGAAAAACAAGCGAAAAGAAAAATAAAAAGACAGGAGGGATTTAGCTGTGGGTTTGGGGGCAAAGAAGATAATATGGCCATACATATTTAATGGGGGGAATTCTGGTAAATACGAGCAGAGAAGCGAGGCAAAGCAGTAACGGTAATAACGAAGGTCAAGGAATCAGAAATTCAGTTCTTTTTTTTGTT